GTTGGTTATCATAGTTGTATCCAAAGCTTTAAATAATTGTCTCTTGTTCGTCAAAGTCCACACAGGCTGGTTCAATTACTTTAGAACACAACTGACACAACAAGTTGATTCACATGGCTTTTTAGTTTTCCAATGTTGTTAAGTACAAGAGATATCTTTGTCTTCGAAGCTTGAAATCCCCACCCTTTCTGAATACATCTTTTTGTTCTAATCGTCTGTATATTTTGGTCGGAAAAAGCTGTTACATAATATTCCCCAAAGCTGTCAATTTTCAATGTCGTCGCACAATACACAAAGGCTAAACAATGTCAAAATATAGTTCTGATACATTCCTTTTCACTGCAGTTTTAAATCTGGCGTTACTGTCACGCGACTTGCTGATTTTAAAATTCAAAATATTTATATTATAACGTATTTCTGGTTGGACTCTCACATAAAATATAATAAAGTAGCTTACTTTAAGAAAGGTGTAATAAGCACTGAATTCACCAAAGACATTATATTTTAATTTGGGCGACTTAACTGTAAGTGTACCATGATCGTGAATTCAAGGGACTACTGTTCGTAAAACCGCGCTCCGTATTTTGGGTCATGGATGCGTATTAAGAGAGACTGCCAGATCTGACTTTTTGGTCAGATAAGAGTAGCCCAAGTGTTGGAGGTAGGCATTATGTTAACTAGCATTTTAGATAGTAAAACAAGATAGTGTTTAATCACTTACCTTAAGCTACAGTTACCTAAGTTCAGAGGTGAGAGAACGTTATACATTCTAAAAGTAGTCTTGTGATCATTGATAAAAATCATTCTTTTGGCATTCTCATGGTGGTCTAGCAATGCACCATCTCTGGTGACATCACTGTATGGAACCAGCGCTCTCTGGTTCCACTTCGTGGAACTACTAACGTAATTGTCTCTGATGTTCCATTGTCATGGCGGCCTAGCAACGTGCCCTCTGGTTCTACTTCGTGGAACTATGACGTGATAATCTCTGACATTATCATCCCTCCCAATATTTATCGCAAAATTTTATGATTTTTTTTAAATGTTCGACAAAACTCAAAACGCAACGTCTATAGTAACGAACAGTTAGGACTGATAGGATCGCAGCGCCTCCTGTAGTCGGAAATTTTGATGCGATGGGAAATGACTCACAATGTTAGGTGTCATATTAGTCTAACCATATAAATGGCTAGTGACACAGAGGAAACTGACTGGCGGATACAGAGTTTTCACAAGGGGAGGCTAACCTAGTTTGGTCGGGTACAAAGATATTATGGGGAACGGTTCCAGAGACAACCTTAGTTGTTTTTTGCGAGGGGAAGGTGGGAGGGGCTATGTCGGCTACGCCCTATATTGGAACCGTCAGTTTAATTGATCTGATTCTTTGTTTTAGGTATTCAATTAGATTACCTGTAAATGACCCTTTTTTAACGGTATTATTCTGACTAAAGATTGGGTTTCGATACCCGCGGTGCCTAAAGCACATATAACCCATTATTGACAAACAAACTGTACAGTAAATCTCTTACGATTTTTAGTCTTTTTAATAGTATTTCATTAATGTTTCACTAATTTTTGTTTCCAATAGAATAAATAAAGGAATGTTATAAAACCTAAAATTTTTCACATACATATATTTCCGCTCCCACTTTACTACCCAGAATAAATAAATAGAATAAATAAAGGAATGTTATAAAACCTAAAATTTTTCACATACATATATTTCCGCTCCCACTTTACTACCCAGTA